CCTGGGGCTAAGATGCATGATGTAGTGAGAGATATGGCTATCATAAGCATTGGTCCTGAATTTGGATATATGATAAAAGCTGGTATGAATTTGGTGGAGTTACCAGATGAGCATGGTTGGGTAGAAGATCCTAAGAAGTTGTCTCTAATGGCAAATAACATTTTAAAAGTTCCTCTTAGTCTGTCCCCAAAGTGTTCCACCCTTTTGACATTGATATTGTCAAGTAATTCTAATTTGTCAGAGATTCCAGAATCTTTTTTTGGAGAGATGCTTCCTTTGAAGGTTCTTGATCTCTCTAGCACTGCTGTTGAGACTCTACCTACTTCCATCTCTAAATTGAAGAATCTATCTACCCTGCGATTACAGCTTTGCAAGAAGTTAAAGTACTTGCCTTCCTTGGCAAACCTCAAGGGATTGAAGAAGTTGGACTTGCACAGGGCAGGGATTGAGGTGGTCCCACAAGGCATGGGGATGTTGATAAGTCTTGAATATCTTGATTTGTTATTTTGTCCAAATCTGAAAGAGATTCCAACAGGAATATTACTTAACCTTTCCAGTCTCCAGTATTTGGCAGTTTGTTGTTTGCGAGAAACTACAATAGTGAGAAATTTTGAAGAGGTTGCTAGACTGAAGAAGTTGGAGACCTTAGAATGTAATTTTGATGACATACAAGACCTCAATTATTTTGTCAACAAGTTCAAAGATTTCCAAAGGGCTATTGCTTACAGTCTTCTAGTTGGGAGTGCAAAAGACATGCGTAGAAAGAGCAAACATGAGCTTGCAATTATTGATTGCGAGATCGGGGAAGAATGTATAATGCTTCCAAATAAGCTTGAATATTTGTGGATAAGGGGATGTAAAAACATGGGAAGCAGCTTAAGCAAAATAGCTCTGTCAGAAAACGCAAATGAGTTGAGGGCATGCGATATTGATCAATGTGCAGAGATAGAGTGCGTGGTTGAGTTGGACTCATCCTCCTCCTCCTCCTCATTGCGTTGTCCTGTATTTGATAAGCTCGAAGAGTTGCGGCTTCATGGATTGCCTAGGTTGTGTGAACTTGTGAGAGTGGAAGGAGAAGCAACACCACCGCACGTCTTTTCCAATCTTAAAATGCTTCTTGTAATTAGTTGTTGGAGAATAAGGAAGTTGCTTCCACTTGAGCTATTGCATACCCTCCAAAACTTAGAGGCGATTACAGTTACTTTTTGCGATCAAATAGAGGATATAATAGCATCATTGGATTCTGATGCATCATCATCGGATAAATTCACTTTCACTTTTCCTAAGTTAAGGGAATTGCACTTATCGTACTTACCCCAATTGAAGAGCATCTGCAGTGCCAAAGGAGTTATGGTTTGTAATTCTATTGAAAAAATCACAATAAGTGTATGTCCGGAGTTAAAGAGGATCCCTGTGCAACTTCCCCAACTTGATAACGGCCAACCATCTCCTCCTCCTCATCTCAGAGAAATCAAGATACGTGAAAGTTCAAAAGAATGGTGGGAATCAGTGGAGTGGGATCATCCTAACGCTAAGAACCTCCTTCAACCCTTCTTGAAATATTCTACATAACCGTGGGATTGAGGGTAAGGTGTTGATCGATTTACTACTATTTAATTCTAATTTGAATTTGCTTTGGTAATATATTACAGTAAGTTGCTGAAAATTTGG